CCACCGCCGCCTTCAACACCCACTGACGCGTTCCCTTGCACGCGTGTGTCGTGCGTGTCGTGTGTGGCACGTGTGGCGGTGTGTGCGTGGTGGTGCGATGCCCATCGCAGGCGCTTTCAGTGCCGCGGGTCTGTGGGCGGGTGCGGTGAAGGCCATCTCGCACATGTTCCTGCAGGAGTACGTCTTTGCTCCGCTGCTCCACATCGCCACCTCCGACGAGGAGCTCGGTACGGGGCCGTCTTCCTTCCTTCTACATCATCACCTCATGTCTTCTGTCCCGCTACACGCAACTCACACTACACAACACGCAGACGAGTCGTTCGAGGCCTACGACCCCATCGCTCCCATAAAGCAAGGGTATATATTAATCCCCATCACTGACATAGTCATACTATGTCTTACCACATTCATCGTTAATGTTTGTGTACATGTGTACTTATATTAAAAAATATAATATAATATGTTATGTAGGGACATGTACCAGCGTGGTGGCTGGACGGGTCCCGTGTGCGCGATGGCCTCGGCTGCCGGCGCGATTCTGCTGTCGCTTCCCTTCCTCAAGGCCAAGTTCCTCCTCCGCACCCAGTCGGTACACCGCACCCCAGGCGTCCAATTCTTTTTCGCTCAACGTTTAGTGCGTGACGTGTGGGCCACATGTGCATGTCGCTCACCGTGCATCGCAATCAACTACAGAGGCGTCCGGACGGCTCGTTCAAGTACACCGGCCTCTTCCAATCGATCGGCGTCATCTGGCGAGAGCAACGGTGGGGCCTCATCACCAACAAGTACGCGCCACCGCCCATCATCAAGCTTTATTTTATTTAATCCCATTTATTCAAAAATTATCATTTATTCTATTTATTTGAATTTGTTTTTTTAAACTTCTTTTCTTTTTGTACAGCCTGAGCGCGTTCATCTCGTTCGGTATCCTCTACGATGTGGTGGGATTCCTCACGGACCGCTACAAGCTGTCGACACTGATCATGAAGATCAAGACGCGCGAGGGTGTGCTCCACAACCTCAAGCACGCGCTGGCGCTCGCCATCGATGACATCATCGAGGCCGCCATCATCGTCGCCTTCACCATGCCGGTCAACGTTGTTCTACGCCGCCTCGAGGCCCAGGCTGGCGGCGTGGCGCCCTTCAGCGCCGACGGGGTCGTCTACGCCGGCGTCCTCGACTGTGTGCAGCAGATTTTTGTTCGAGAAGGCCTCAATGGCTTCTACAAGGTTCGCACGCACCGCACACGCACCGCACACATGACACAGAACTGATGCGATGCGGGATGTGGGATATGAGCAGGGAGCGATGCCAGAGCTGTTGGAGAGGTTGCTGCCCCGCGTGTTCGTGGACGCCGCGGTGGACTTGGGTCTCAATTCCTTCTTCGGCGTGCCGGCCACCTACGACAACACCGACGAGCACAGCCACGCCGACTGAAGAAGGAAGGCCATCGCGTTTTTGAACTCCTATGCAGTTTATTTATTCTGTACCCTTGGCCAAACAAGCACGTAGACCAAGAAGGAGATGAAGAGATGACAAGACTCTTGTTACAAGAGGCCCTGTTGGCTGTGGAGCTTCTCGTCATCGTCCACCACTGTTCGTGCAGCCTTGAGTAGCAGCTCATAGGGAGGAGCGGGTCAGGTGGTGGCCCTGCTCGAGCTTCACCCACTACTCCCCCACGTTCTGGCCCTCCACCAGCACCACCCTGACGCTCGCGTTGTCTGGTGACCCACCCGCCTGCTGCTCTCTAGGATGCTCCACAAGTGCATGGTCAGCAGTGCTGAGGGTTTAGGCACAGGGTATTGCGGGCAGGCTGCCTTTTATTCTTATGCAATAACCCTGAGGCAGAACACACCAGGGTTATTGCGAAAATGCAATAACCCTGAGGCAGAATACACCAGGGTTATTACGGAAGAATATGCAATAACCCTGAGGCAGAATACACCAGGGTTATTACGGAAGAATAAAAGGCCAACGGCGCAGAACACATAAACAACAACAGCAACAGCCACGAGAAGAAGACGCTTCGCCACACAAGAACCTTCTACATGGCACGCAACCTACCTGGTACACCCCGGCCGTGCCTACGCATAGGAGCCAGCTTCACTAACTCAAGTACATTTCTGGGGGGGGGGTACAAAATAGGTACCGTCTACTACAACATCGGCTTGGTCGTGCTGGAAGACAAGCGAAGCTACTGTCCCCTATGCGATCAGGACTGCAGCACGGTCCAGGCAGGGGCCAACCACTGCCGTACCCACGAGCACAAAACCAACAAGCGGCTCCACAGCTACCACTTGGGCCACTACTGCTGGACTGGAGAGGGAAGTACGTGGTGCTGTGCCTGTGCCCTTCTCCTCACGGCCGAGAGCGTGGAGCAGCACGCACGCGATGCTCGACACGTCACCAACGCCCTCCACTTCGGCGAGGCCGCGGACAAAAGCATCAATTCCAGGAAGACAAAGGTAAATTTTTCGTTTTGCGTTTTGCGTTTTTCGATTTTTAGTCCTGAACCGTTTTGTTAGGCTGGCGCAGTTCCGCCCGGGGCACCTCTCGCCAAGAAGAAGCGATTGCGCACGCCTCGGTCATGCACTCGTACTCGCCCTGCTCAGGTCGACTCTGCTCCTACGAGTGACGGTATCTATGCGGTACGTCACACCTGTAGCTCTCGTGACTTCACTCGTTCGTTGAACCGTGTTTGCGTACGTGTGATGTGCATATACATAGACCCTTAGCCGAATCGAAGATGAGCTCAGCCGGTTGACTCCTGCTGAGAGGTTCTACGCCGTTTCAGAATTCGGTGCAAACTCTCTGCCGCTGCTACTGCAAGCCCTGCAGGGCTGTGCTGGTTCGTTAACACTGTCTTTGGTGTCGTCGCGTTTGACTTGGTCTGACCGCATGCTTCGGGTGTGCGTGTGATGTACTGTGAGAACAGACGCTCAGCCAACCCAGCCGGACATGGTTTCAGCAATGAACTCCATGACACTGAACGAAGGCTTGCGGCTGCACATTCCAGCCCCCACGGCCGCAGGCGATTCTCCAGCAGGAGTACTGGTCTTTGCGGCAGACACGTCTTCGAACCCGCAGATGATAGGCGTGATTCCAACGATCTCACCCTCACTCGTACTCAACCCTCCTCACCCAGCCTTTCGGTTCTCATGTGCTGGTCTAACCCCTCTCCTCTAGTCTCCGTCCGAATTGCGTTGGCTGCTGGATGATTTTGGCTTCGACCCCAGCTCCAGCTTCAGCGGCCAGCGCACCGAAGACATGCCCGCCGCAGGTCTCAGCTCTGGCTCCGGCTCCGACCCCAGCTCCAGCGGCCAGCGCACCGAAGACATGCCCGCCGCAGGTCTCAGCTCTGGCTCCGACCCCAGCTCCAGCGGCCAGCGCACCGAAGACATGCCCGCCGCAGGTCTCGGCTCCGGCTCCGGCTCCGACCCCAGCTCCAGCGGCCAGCGCACCGAAGCCATGCCCGCCGCAGGTCTCAGCTCTGGCTCCGGCTCCGGCTCCGACCCCAGCTCCAGCGGCCAGCGCACCGAAGACATGCCCGCCGCAGGTCTCGGCTCCGGCTCCAGCGCCAGCACAGTCTGCTGGTGCAAGCGCGTGCCAGAGAAGGCCCCAAGAAGTGCCCTGCAGGACCCCCTTCTTCAGAAGCTAAACCTGGTGATCTCCTTCCCGCGCAAGATGTGGGCGCTCATGGGTTGCCCAGAGCACTACCACGACAACGTGAAACACGTCCGAGACGCGCTCTCTCAACACAGAATTAAGCTGCCGCACTTCCCGCCGGAGGCCAACACGCTTCAAGTCGCGAGGTGCGAAACCGAGCTCAGGGCCACGCTCCCCCTGCTTCACGGCCACCTCTTCGCGGAGACCTTCGCGGTCCTCTACAACTGCGCTCGGAGCCTCGAGGTGGCCAAGGCGCGCTATCGGACTACCCCCTTGCTTGCACTCGGTCCCGGCCGCCTGCGGCTCGGTTCTGGTCTGCTGGCTTCGCTTCGTGACGAGTTCCCCTCGGCCATCTCCTCCTCCTCTGACTTCCTCCAGAAGTGGGCAGCCCAGATGACGCACGCCAAACTTCCCCAAAACCAATCTGCGTGTGAGGGGTGGGCTGACGGCCTGTGGGCTCTGCTCGCGAAGGAGATTGGAGTGATTGAATAAATCCTGCCCTTCTCCGCCTGAACAGGAAACGAGACACCCGCATGTTTTACAGGCATCAGGGGAGGGAAGAGCCACCGCTGTTGAGCAGCTCGTTGGCAAACTGATCATCGCCCACCTCCTTTCGGCGGCACTTGCCGACCAACGGAGCGAGCCGCACGGCCAGCTGGTGCTTGCACTGGGGTGTTGCACCCCAGAGAAGAAGAAGAAGAAGACGTTGAGCGTGATTAGAATGAAGCGATAAGCATTCCCAGGTTTTCAAGAAGTATAGACGCGACATGGTACCATGAAGGGAGTCTCGCGCGGGTCGCCCTTGAGCACGGAGTAGGTGAAGGCCGGGCAGGAGCAGTAGTGGCCAAAGCAGATG